TGAACCAACCCCCCCCCCCCAAAAAACCCCTAGATTTGCTTAGGGATTCATAGCCACAGCTGAAGAAAAAATAAATCAGCTCAGCTCAACCAAACTGAAGTGATAACAACAGTTACCTAACAGGATACACTTTAGGCACTAATTTACTAAACACGCTATCAAATTTCTTCAGATACAATGGACCCTTAAGTTGCTGGCTTGGTATGGTCTTGTTCATTGGTGTTCCAGTATACCAGGATCATCTCATAAATAAGAGCTTGATTTCTTTCTCACATACTCCCAAGCAGGGGTTAGGAGGAAACAGGATTCTGTTCAGTCCCATGCTGATCTTCTGAAGGCTTATATCCTAAATTCATAACACAAATTGCTTTGTTACCCCTCCTATAAATCAGCATGAAAACAGTGCCTCTTAAAATCTGCACACATGTATATGTGTTTCCCTGTAACTGAAAGTTGTAGTGTCATTCTAAAAATAAAATGTTGTAAAGCATGTTGAAAACAGATACACACATTATATATATATGCAAATACATAATGACATAAGAATATATGATGAGAATCCACATCTGCATCTGACTTCCCTGTAGACATAGGTATATCTAGAACTAATAGAAGTGAATATGTGTAGCTCAGGGCTGAACTGTGGAGTCTTTGGGGTTCTCTGAGCTTGGTTATTTTCTTGCAAATGTTTCATTACCCGGCTAGGTAACATCTTCAGTGCTAGAATGGGATGGGGTTTGCTCTCTGCTTATATACTGTGGCATGCCCTGCCAATGTTGGTGGGGGTGGGGGGTTTGTTTTGTTTTGTTTTATTTTTTCCCTCTGGTAGTTCCTTGATTAGGACATTGTTTACTGCTTGATTATATGTCTGGTGATAATCTTGGTGTTAATCTCTGCTTATCTGGGTGACGATTGCTGGTGAGGAGATGTTCTGGTCTTTTGGCAGTGGTGATCCCTGGGGTGTGCCTCTGATTTGTCCATCAAACTGAAAATAGGTAGTGAGGCAGAGGTTGATGAGGTCCATGATTCTGGGTATTTCGATCTGGGTGCATTATAAATACCCAGAATCATGTCAGAGGCACACCCATGGGATCACCACTGTCAGGACTCATAGCAGAGATTGTAACGCAATGCCTAGAAGCTATAGCACTTCCACACATACAACCTAAAGTATGGATCCGGTATGTAGATGACACCTTTGTTATAATAAAAAAGGAACAACTAGAGAAGACACATGAAACCATCAACATCATCTTCAAAGGAATAAAATTCACCAGAGATGAAGAAAATAATAACACACTACCCTTCCTGGATATCCTCATCAGCACAGGAAACAACAGTAAATTAGAAACCTAAGTCTATCGGAAGACAACCCACACTAATCACGTACTCCAT